GTCTACCTCACTTGTTTGTGGAAAATATGCTGCTTGGCAGCAGTCTGCACAAACTCTACCAAATGTGACCTGCAGGGGGCGCATGAAGAGCACAGGCACAGAGCAAGGCCCCGCCCTCCCCAGAGACTCATTGTGCAGCAACCGGACTGACTTCTTCTCGTGCATGTAGGTCAGCAAAGGGGAGGCCGCCACAGCACCCAACTCCTGCGCCCGTCAGTTGGCGACCCCCGAACTTGCGCTTGTCAGCTGGGATGTCTGGTGATGGCGCCAGTCTCCTTTGCCACCGGACCCATCCTTGACTCCTCATCCGCCCATTCATGTCGAGCCCACCGGGGCTTGACAGGAAGAGAGGGAGGGAAGGAGGAAGGGAATCCTCTTCCTCTCCTAAGCTTCAAAGCACAATCAGCTTCCCAAGGGCGTCACAATCCTCACGAAAGTGGGGAAGGGGTGAGAGAAGCAAAGGGGGTGAGAAAGCTCGTGATGGGCTTGAAGGAGCACCTGTCAGCGTTGGCGACAAGAAATTCCCCACAAACCCAGGGAAGGAGTGGAGAAAAGGAGCCCCCTTTGGGAGGAAACCACCACCTTCTTCTCCTTGGCTTTCCGCTCTTCTGTTCCTCAGCAGCTGGGCTGGCAAGCCTCTCCTGGCTGGAACCTCCTTTCCTTCCCTCCCTCTTGGTCTCTTCCTCCTTCCCTCCCTCTCCCATTGTCCCTTCCTTCCTTCCTTCCTTCCTTCCTTCCTTCCTTCCTTCCTTCCTTTCCTTCGCCTCCCTCTTTGTCCCTCCTTCCCTCCCTCTCTCCCCTTGTCCCTTCCTTCCTTCCTTCCTTCCTTCCTTCCTTCCTTCCTTCCTTCCTTCCTTCCTTCCTTCCTTCTGCCTCCCTCTTTGTCCCTCCTTCCCTCCCTCTTTCCCTTTGTCCCTTCTGTCCTTCCTTCCTTCCCTCTTGTCCAGGATCGGGGTGAGCCTCTACAGCTGATCCGCGCTTCTGCAGCTGTAGCTGCTCTCCTTGGCTCCTGCCCAGCAAACTTGCTCGCTAGAAAACATGCGCTTGCTAATTTAGCAGAAATGCGAATCAGCTGTAGCCCGGCGCTGATCCTGGAGCTTCTGCTAACTTAACAAGCGGCATGCCTTTCGGTGAAGCTGAGCAAGTGAGCTGGGCGAGCTCTCTTCCGTCTCTGCCTATGCACAGGCAGGTTTGCCGGCAGTAAAGCCCCCAGCCACGCTGGCAGCCTATCCCCCTCCCCTTGTCCCTTCCCGGGCACGGAGGGGGGGGGAAGAAGGAAGGGACGAAGAGGGAGGGAAGTAAGGAACAATGAGAGAGGGAAGGAAGAAAGGAACAACGGAAGGGAGGGAAGGAGGAAGGGACAAAGAGGAAAGGAAAGGAAGGAAGGGACAATGGAGAGGGATGGAAGGAGGAAGAGATTAAGAAGGAGGTGAAGGAAAGGAAGGAAAGAAGGAAGGAATGGACAATGGGAAAGAGGGAGGGAAGGAGGAAGAGACTAAGAAGGGGGTGAAGGAAGGAAAGAAGGAAGGGACAATGGGAAAGAGGGAAGGAGGAAGAGACTAAGGGAGGGGAAGGAAAGGAAGGAAAGAAGGAAAGGACAATGAGAGAGAGGGAGGGAAAGAGGAAGAGACTAAGAAGAGGTGAAGGAAAGGAAGGAAAGAGGAAGGAAGGGACAATGGGAGAGGGAGGGAAGGAGAAAGAGACTAAGCAGGAGGTGAAGGAAAGGAAGGAAGGAAGGAAGGAAGGAAGGAAGGAAGGAAGGAAGGAAGGAAGGGACAATGGGAAGGAGGAAGAGACTAAGAAGGAGGTGAAGGAAAGGAAGGAAGGGACAATGGGAGAGAGGGAGGGAAGGAGAAAGAGATTAAGAAGGAGGTGAAGGAAATGAAAGGATAATGGGAGAGAGGGAGGGAAGGAGGAAGAGACTAAGGGAGGGGAAGGAAAGGAAGGAAAGAAGGAAGGAAGGGACAATGGGAGATGGTGGGAAGGAGGAACAGAGTCCCACAGGCACTCTGCAACCTGAGTGATCAGCTGGCCATGCCCCCTGGCCATTGATCACGTGACCTTGGGACACTGTGAATGTCATAAGTATGAATCAGTTGTCAAGCATCTGAATGTAAATCACATGACCCTGGGGATAATGCAACAATCATAAGTGGAAAAAATGATCATAATTTGCTTTTTCAGTGCTGTTGTAACTTCTAACAGTCACTAAGCGAATTGTTGTAAGTCGAGGACTACCTATACTTTCCCATTTTGCAATTGACTTAATAGCGAATTTGTCAATGTCAATGGTGTTCAAGTGGTGCTCCAGTTGTTTTGGGATTGCACCTAAGGAGCCTATTACTATTGGTACTACCCTTGCTTGCTTTTGCCACAGTCTTTCTATTTCTATTTGTAGGTCTTTGTATTTTGTTATCTTTTCCAGTTCTTTCTCTTCTATTCTGCTATCTCCAGGCACTGCCACCTCCACTATCCAGACTTTTTTGTCTTTCTTATCGACAATTGTTAAGTCTGGGGTATTATTATTATTATTATTATTATTATTATTATTATTATTATTATTATTATTATTATTATTACCTTTACAGCCCAAATCTCTTGCCCTGCCCATTTTGCCCTATAGGCTACACTATCTCTTATATAACCATTCCCCCGGTAGCATCTCTTTAAAATACTTGAACTCTGGGATAAGTGTAAAACAGTCGTTTATTGTTGACAGCAGTGAAAAACAATAAAAGCAACTATTTATAAAACAAATAAAAATTGACTGTCTTAGCTTTCGCTGATCCACTGCCAGCATCATCAGAGTAAGCATTAGGGGTGGGGAGTTTGCTTATAAATCTAATTGGCTCCGCACCCTACTCATTGATCATGTACCGGGCTTGCCTGTTCTAATTAACCCTAGTTGTTCTAGTTGTCCTGCATCTCCTTGTTCACATTTTGGTCCCATTGCCCTATTTCTTCCCATTGTTCTTTTCCTTACCCATTCTGTTTTACCCACTCCGGTCATACTACCTCTCCTCACTGTGTCTCATCCCCTGGCATGTATGTCAGTTCTGGGGATCCCTCTCCCCCTTTTTCTATCTTCCCTTCCCACCTTTCCTGCACCCGGCCATGTGATATTGCTGCCAATCTGTCCTCCAATCCTCCCCCTCCCATGACCATTACAGGCTGTGTATCCCAATCCGACGATGTACATATCCTTCCATGGTCATTCCATCCCTCCTCCTCTGGTGTTAATAAATTTGTCATGGATCTTTGGCATATGAATATCTGAAGCATACAGGAATCCTGGTATATCACTGGCATAAAGATTAAAAAGCACTGAGGCTAGAATACAACTCTGTCTGTTAAATTTTTGGACTTTTGGATGGGTAGAGGGCCTTAACTGAGTTGAGGGCCTTAACTGTGAGAAAAACTAAGAGTCTGGGTTCCATATTTATTTGGCCAATTTCTTCCATATTTTTATTTATAGAATCAAAAGCCGCATTGAGATCTACAAATGCAGTAGATTTCTTGTCATTTGTTAGTTGCTTTCTTGTGAGATGGTGTAAAGTAAAACAACTATCTATTCTGGAGTGCTCTGGTCTTATTTCAGTTTGTTCCTCCACTAAGATACTTGTTTCCATTACTCGGTCTTCTATTGTGCTTAGAACGTATTTTAGTCACAATTCCAATAAGGCTTACCAGTCTATAACTTTTTGGATCACCTCTGTTCACTCTTTTTATAGAAGGGGACTTTAATGATGACTTTCCATTCTACTAGAATGCAACCTATATTGTTTATATGAGTGAAAACCCTGTTAACAATGGGGCCCACCAATCAATATGAGTGTTAAAGAATTCTGGGGGTAGGAAATCTTTTCCAGGTGCCTTATAGGTTTTAGAGATTGAATGATACATTTGATTTCTGATACTGATGCTGGAGGCCATTTTGCTCTTAGGGAATTTTCAGTTCTTCCAGTTCCTAAAAATCATTTTCCAATCATTATTTATCCCAAAGTTTTGTCCCAAATACTAGTGAATGGGCTGACTGGAAAATATGAAGTTAGATTACCTATTTCCAGCAGAAGAATTCAAGTTCTAAATTGTGAAGTTTGGACTGTATTTTTTAAAATCAAAGCTTAAATGGTGTGACATACTACAAAGACACACTACTAACATCAATTAACAATGGCTGGGCTTGTCAGAAGGAGAAAAAAGGAGAAGAAGAAAGAGGAGAAGGGTGTGGTAATTACTTTTTATTCACCTTGACTTTGATGTTAGAAGGAAACAGTAGTCATGAGTGTTTTTGCCCAGGTGGTGAGGAAACTATACCTGTTTTTAAAGAATACAGGTCTATCCTTATTGATGCATACCTTAGTTAGAGTACTATAATAAGCTTATTCATATTCTATAAATAATATTTATGAATAAAAATAGGAAGGATTACAAAATCTGGGCTAAAAATTATGGGTGACTGTTCAATGGCAGGAAAGAGATAAATAGGATTCCAACTTTTTAGTGCTGTCTAGTGATCATCTATATTTTTGCAACTCAAATCTAGTAACCATAATTCTGGGATTAAAATGCATTTGATACATTGGAAAGATAAATGTAAAGCTCCATTCATTCAGTTTACTGAAGACCTGATTAATCTTGCTATCTGTGAGAGGATTGCCTATAAATATAGACTTTGTATGGATAATCAAACAATTAATTTTTATTTAATCATAGACCAGCAAATAAAACAAGAAACAATTAATCAGGGTAAAAATTGATACTGTTCTATCAATATATTATATTCTCTATTTCATTTTTTCTGTTGTAATTTTTTCACTTATTTTAAACGTTATATATTTTTATAATGTATTTATGCATTTTGCTCCTTTTGTTTTTTGTTATTAACAATTTATCTCAGAAATTGATGAAACCACTTCAGCAATAAAATTAAACATGAAAAAAATAGTTTCAATTTTTATGTAATTACTTGACTCCCACAGCCACATTGGTTTAGCTACCTTTATTACTCCTATTGAAAGTAGCTTCTTCTCTGCTGCGAACAGAATCTGTTTCTGCAGAATGATAAGACAATGAAAGCAGGCCTTTTTATAACTGTCAAGTACTCCATATTTATTGTATACTAATTTGTGTACAACTCCACTCAGTGCAGTGGGATTTTTTTTAAGTAAATATGTCCAAGCCTGCTGGCCTTTTAAGCTTTATAAGTTTCAAATATTATGGAGAAGTTGAGAATCTTCCAGAAATATCAGATTCAAATTCCCATATTCTCTCTGGTGCAGGACACAAGACTAAGGAGGTCTATTACAAATACAATGTTACATAATGACAGAGATTCCTTTCAGGACCTCCTAGATCAGATATTTAATTTCTCTATTTCATCAAGTTTTCCAGAATACCAGTTTGATTTGATGTAAGATTCAAAAATCTTACTATCTCCTAAGGCCCAATTTTAGAAAAAAACATTCCATAGTAATGTGTTTAATTTGCAACAGTTAATGATATAATAATTATTATAATGGTATTTATGTCACTATACTAATGTTAACATGTTATGAGTTTTATCTCTCAGTGAATCTTAAATGCTACAATATCATATAATAGAAGCCAAGGATTTATAAGCAGAATATAAGTAGCATCATGATCTTCATATTGCAAATGGTAAAGATGACAGAGATAGCAACCTTTATGCGATTTAATAATGATGAAACTCAATTTCAATTGGCTTCTGGGATTGACCTAGGAATGTTAGGCAACAATATCTGAGCAATAATGAAAGAAAACATTTACTGTAAGTACTATTTCAATGTTCCATAGTGTCCTAGCATGAATTAATTCCAGGAAAGTAAAATGACAGCAAGAAATCATATTTAAGTTCTTTGTTTCTTTTAAAGTAGGGACTACACAGTATCTGCATGACTCTTGGTCAAAGGGTAAAAGGGAGAGATTTGATAATATAGGTAAAACTGAAAACCAGATGAAAATGGATGGGAAGGAAGGAAGGAAGGAAGAAAGGAAGGAAGGAAGGAAGGAAGGAAGGAAGGAAGGAAGGAAGGAAGGAAGGAAGGAAGGAAGGAAGGGAGGGAGGGAGGGAGGGAGGGACATGCAACACTGAGTTCAAATTTTAATTCTTCTTTTTGCTGCTTGTCTATCCTATCAAAAGACAGGCAGTTGACATCTATGCATCATTAATGTAACCAGCCTGCCTGCTCTCAGATTCCTTCTAGCCCTCATACCAAGAAGGGTACATGGTAACATCTGCTGTAACTTAATAAATTCATAGCTACAGTAACATTTGAAGTAGACATCTCATGACACTTTTACAGTTCAGTTTATGCAGCTTTTTTAATTCCACAGGACCTCTTAAGGCAAATGTACATGCTTCAGCTTAATAAAACTGCAATATATATCCTTTATAAATAGCTCTAATAAATGAAACTTGCAACAAGTTAGCTTTTGTTATTGTTGTCTAATCACACCAGAAATCCTAATTTGCCTCACTTTCAATTTTTCTGGCTATTGGAAACCCCAGAGTGCTGGAAATAGGTTTTCGGCTCAGCTTACAGATACTATAAGAAGTTTGAATGTAAGAATTTATATCCAGCATTGATTTTTCCATGGAAATAACTTCAAACCTCCCATAACTTATATATCTGTAAGGGCACCATTTCTATAGTGCTTACTCAAATCTCACAGATCCACAACTGAAGGAAGAAAAAAAGTAATTCCCAGTGATGATGATAAAAGGTTACCAGCTTTTTAAAACTGTAATTAAACCAGCCAACTTTCTTGGTAACTTTCTGAAACAAATACTCCCAAAATTATACTTTCAACATGGATGAATTAAAATTTATTACAAACTTAATTGGCAAATATTCCTGATTTCTTTCCCACATAAATGCATTTGCCATATTGCTGAGTGGGAACTGACAGATGAAATTCAGAATTTGCTTCATTGGTTTACTAGTGCTCTTTGCAAAAAAAGAGAAAGATTTATCTTGACTATTTTTGCCTGAAGTCATAAAGCTGTCAGTTGTAGCGATTTATAATGTAGGTAGGGCTTCTGTGACTGAAAGTTACCTACTCTATACCAAAACATTGCTCAGTATAGAAAGTTACTTGATAGCAAAGAAAATTCCATCTTTTTTTCCTGATATACTTGTTTTCAAATATAGATTTATTATTATGTTGACTGCAGTCATCCACCTGTTTAGACTGATTTTGACATTTGTATTCACAGACTATCTACGTCTGTTTGCAAAACTTCATATTTTGTGATTTTCTCCAGTTCTTTCTCTTCTCTTCTGCTGTCTCTAAGTATTGCAATCTCCACTATCCAAACTTTTTTTTAATCTCTCTTATCAACAATTGTTAAGTCTGGGATATTATATGACAGATGCCTGTCTGTTTGAATTCTAAAGTTCCAAAGCACTTTAGCTTCTTCATTCTCTATTGCACTGTCTATTATTACCCTGTTCATAACAATGTGAAGACACAGATACCAGTTCTTCAGCTGGTATCAGTTGGTCTTCATAAGCTTCAAAATCTTCCCTAGAACTGAGGATGTTATAAATTATTGGTACTGTATATGTGCAGATCCAAGAAATGTGGTCTTTTGCAATTGACTGATGGAAATTTTTCACAATACTACAAGGATGCAATGAATAGTGAACAGTCATCAGTTTTCTTGTTTTTTGATTTAAACTATTGAGTTCAGCTTGTGTCCAATTAAAAATTCCATGAGTATATTGTATCATAGATATTACCCATGTCTTTGATGGAGTTTCTACTGTTCAATTTTGCCTCTAGCAATTTTCTGACTCTTTGGATGTATTCTTTACTTATTAAATTTTAACTTTTCCATGATTAATGTTGTCCAAAGCATAAAATACCCAAATACTTGTAGGCTTCATCCTGATAACTCCTGATGGTTTGTGCATCAATTCGATTATTTCTTATAATTTACTCTGATTTTATTTTATTTTTTTGCTACTGTAGCATTCTAAGACAAATTCTATTGCGATATCTGTGCTAAAATTCTTACACTATTTGTCAATGACTGGATTTTGATTTCTGATTTCCCATGCTCTGAAAATTTGCTAAAACACTCTCCATGAATCCAGACAACAAAGGCAAAGAAAAATGCATACATTAATTCTTACCTTTATTCCATAAATGATAAAAATGGTCTTTGTTCAAAGGCTGATTAAGAATCAGAAGGCAAAACCTTAGGTTTCCTGAAAGACAGTTAATATTGACAAATTGTTTTCAGTATTTACAATTCTACAATTTCTTTCCTCTCAACATAAAACTAAAATATTCCCTCTCTTTTTCCGGTAATATCTATTATCTCATAATGGGCAAACAGAATTCTTATTTTGAACTGATTTCCAAATATTTTATATTAGGTGACCAAAATTTCCCTTATTATTCAATTATAATGTTACTTTATTTTCTAAAAATCTATTCCCTGCATTTTGAAGTAACCTTGTGTTACTACACGAAAAGGAACACTCTGTTTCTCAAGCGCCCCATTCCAGGCATACGGAGCTTGCAGTCTCTGCCAAATCTCCATTGGGATAAAAAGTTTTTTAGTGCCTATAGAGCAGTGGTTCTCAACCTTCCTAATGCCCCGACCCTTTAATACAGTTCCTCATGTTGTGGTGACCCCCCATCCAGCTGGCTAGGGGGTATCAAAAACTTGACCAAAATCAGGTTCGGATTGGCATTTAAAATCTCTAGATGTATTAAGGCAAGAAAATATTCTACAGTCATGGTTTCAATATTTACAAATAGTGGACAGGTGGACTGTAGATAAGAAAGAAGGAATAACACTAGAAGATGGAAATCTGGTTATTCAGATTAAAGATCAGAGTCAGGCCCATATAAAAAGAATTTACAATGCTTTAATAGAATTAGACTCTGAAACAGAATTGGTTAAAGACTGTATGATTAAATGGGCTCAGAATATCCAGGATCCGATCCCATTGGACTTATGGGAGACAATTTGGATTAGAAATGTTAAATTTACACAAGCTCAAAATTTGAGGGAAAATTTTTATAAAATGTTTTACAGGTGGCATTTAGATCCTAAAAAATTATCTTGTATGTATCCAAATTTACAACCCAAATGTTGGAGATGTGGTAATATGGATGTGACATATTTTCATGTTTGGTGGAATTGTAAAAAGGTAAAGGCTTTTTGGATTATGATTTGGTAGAACATTCAAAAGGTTTTTAAAAGGAAGATAAAGTTCATCCCTCAATTATTCCTATTGGGTATCTTTGTGGATTTAAATGACAAAGAAACTACTTTAATGTTGAATTTATTAACTGCAGCAAGGTTATTAGTAGGCTCGTATTGGAAGAAGGACTCGTTGCCTACTTTAGAAGAATGGATATTTAAAGTTTCTAACTTTGCAGAAATGGCAAAAATTTCTGCTTATTTGAAGGATCATACACAAGAAAGATATATTATTGTATGGAGAAGTTGGATAGATTATATTCAGAAAAAATATGGGACTATAAAGTTTCATTTATTTTATGAGTAAATTTTATAGTAACTGTTGTAGAGATTTGTTTATATGTCTTAATTTAAGGGGAGTTAAAGGTTAAGTATGATTTTTTTCTTTTTTTTCTTTTTTCTTTCTTTTTTTCTTTTTTTTCTTATTGTTAACCTTCTTATTAATAACTCTGTACTCTGCTCTGGGAAGCGAGGGGGGGAGGGTTGAGGGTGGGTGTGTGGGTGTGTAATGATAATATAGTCATGGTAAATGCTTGGGCATTTCCCCTATGCTGCGTTCATGTGTGTGAGAGGGATGAGAGGGGAGGAAGGAGTAGGGAGGAAGTAGGATGGTTAGAGGAGAAGGGGAGGGGAAGAGAGTAGGACGGGAGGAGAGAAAGAGGAGGGAAGTAGGGAAGGTTTAGAGAGGGTGGATGCAGCCTGGGGGGAATGGGCAGGTGGTACCAATGGTAAATTGTATTTTGTATGAATAAATGGAAAATAAAAACTTTTTAATAATAAAAAACTTGACCAAAAAAAGAGGAAAAAATGGGAAAGCATAGGTCGTCCTCGGCTTACAACAATTCGCTTAGTTACTGTTTGAAATTACAACAGCACTGAAAAAGCGAATTATGATCATTTTTCACACTTATGATTCTTGCAGCATCCCCAGGATTATGTGATTTACATTCGGATGCTTGACAACTGATTCATACTTATGACATTCAGTGTCCCAAGGTCACTTGATCAATGGCCAGGGGGCGTGGCCAGCTGATCACTCAGGTTGAAGAGTGCCTGTGAGGGGGAATCTGTGGGTCTCTGGGATGGGACTGGGGTGGGTGCCTGCCTTCCTTCCCTCCTTTCTCTCCCCTTGTCCCTTCCTTCCTTCTTTTCTTCCTTTCCTTCACCTCCCTTAGTCTTTTCCGCCCGGAAGGGACAAGGGGAAAGAGGGAGGGAAGGAGGGACAAAGAAGGAGGTGAAGGAAAGGAAGGAAGGAAGGAAGGAAGGGACAAGGGAAGAGAAAGAGGGAAGGAGGGACAAAGAAGGAGGCGAAGGAAAGGAAGGAAGGAAGGAAGGGACAATGGGAGAGGGAGGGAAGGAGGAAGAGACCAAGAGGGAGGGAAGGAAAGGAAGTTCCAGCCAGCAGAGGCTTGGCAGCCTGGCTGCCGAGGAACAGAAGAGTGTAAAACCAAGGAGAAGAAGGTGGCGGTTTCATCCCAAAGGGGGCTCCTTTTCTCCACCCCTTCCCTGGGTTTGTGGGGAATTTCTCATCACCAACGCTGACAGGTGCTCCTTCAAGCCCATTGCGAGCTTTCTCGCCCCCTTTACTTCTCCCCCCTCCCCCTCTTTCATGAGGATTGTGGCGCCCTTGGGAAGCCGATCGTGCTTTGAAGCTTAGGAGAGGAGGAGGAATCCCTTCCTCCTTCCCTCCCTCTCTCCCTGTCAAGCCCCGGCAGGCTCGACATGAACGGGCAGAGGAGGAGTCGAGGACGGGCGGCGTGGCAAAGGAGACCCACGGCTGTCGCCAGACCTCCCAGCTGACAAGCGCAAGTTTGGGGGTCGCCAGCTGACAGGCGCAGGAGTTGGGTGCTGCGGTGGCCTCCCCTTCGCTGACCTGCGTGCATGAGAAGAAGTCAGTCCGGTTGCTGCACAATGAGTCTCTGGGGAGGGTGGGGCCTTGCTCTGCGCCTGTGCTCTTCATGCGCCCCCTGCAGGGCACATTTGGTAGAGTTTGTGCAGACTGCTGCCAAGCAGCATATTTTCCACAAACAAGTGAGGTGGAGGGGAGGCGGGGGAGGGAGAGCAGGTGGTTAACAAGCCCTTCCTAATACCATCAGAAATATGCGTTTTCCGATGGTCTTAGGCAACCCCTGTGAAAGGCTCGTGCGACCCCCAAAAGGGTCGTGACCCACAGGTTGAGAATCACTGCTATAGAGCATTTTGAAACACAGCCAGTCCCTGCGTTTGGAAGTGCTCCATAGGTGCTGAAACATTTTTTTTATCCCAACGGAGATCTGGCAGAAGGCTCCCTTTTCTCAAGTGCCCTATTCCAGGTATACGGAGTTTGCAGGCTCTGCCAGATCTCCATTGAGATAAAAAGTCCTTTAGTGCCTATAGAGCATTTCCAAACACAGCCAGTCCCTGCATTTGGAAGCACTCCATAGGTGCTGAAACATTTTTTTTACCCAACGGAGATCTGGCAGATCCTTTTCTCAAGTGCCCCATTCCAGGCATACAGAGCTTGCAGTCTCTGCCAGATTTCTGTTGGGATAAAAAAGTTTCAGCCACTCAATGAGGGACGAGGAGGAGAAGGAGGAGGAGGAGGAGGAGGAGAGTGGTGAGGATTTGTGCCAGCCAGCCGGCCAGGAAAGGACTAGGTCAGGCGGGGTGGGTGGTTGACTGGGGAGGGGGATCATGGCTGCTCAGGTGGTTGCCACTGCTGCCAGCTTGGATGCAGGTGCAAGGGACCTGGTCCCACAATGCCTCCCTGCTCAGTTGAAGGCTTCATTCCTGCCCTCAAGCTAAGACTGGCGCACTTGAGCAAGCAGCACACTGGGCCATGGACAGCATTGGTTCCTGCACACGGCCAACTCTGATTCCACGCTTTGCCCCAGAGGCATGCAAACAAAGCAAACACTTCCTCCACCAGAAAATGGAAGCTTCCGGGCCATGATCTCTTTTGCAGAGAATTTGTGTTTCAACTTGCGCAATATTACGGCACCTAGGAGCTTCCATTGTCAGTGCAAAAAGCATTTCCAAGCCGACTCTCCTCTGCCTCAAAGGGAAAGAAACTGCGGCATAAAGGAGATAGATTTTGCAAGATAAATGAGTCTGACATGGCAGGAAGGGAGAGGGAAGCAATTGTGGGGAGTGGAGAGAGGAATAGCGTTAATATTGCAGCACTTCTGCAGTTGGTCACTCGTAAATCACAAAGCAGCTTACAGAGGCAACATGATGGCAAACTATCCCTTGCACCATGCTCCTGGGCCCTATGGGGCCATTTGCACTGAGAAAAAATGGGGGAACCAAAAGAAGGGTCCCCACCCCACCTTTTCACGGTTCAAAGCCAAATCTCCAGCCCAGCTCCTGTGTGAATTTTGTTTATGTGGCCACAGGAATAATGCAACAGCCATAACTTTAGGCATGGGTCATAATTCTTTGCATTCAACATGTTGCTGAATGAATGTATGAGGGCAATTTGGAAATAAACCTCTGTTTAGTTATCAATGACAGACACTGGCAGATATAGAACGTTTATTATACACATTAGAAAACTACAACATTACATTACTTTTCAATGTAATTGCCACCCAAATTGAGGCACTTGTCTTAACATTTTACAAGGTTTGAAATTCCTTAGTAGTAGTCGCTCAGCGCTAAATCTGGGTTATGGGGGGTGATCAAAACCATCCTAACGGAACTGCTTCAAAAGTTCTTGGGTGCATCTAGTGGTGTGTGAGCGAGTATTATTATTAACCAACACCACATCAGAAGTCAGTTTGCCTCAACGCTTGCTATGGATGGCTCATTTGAGTTTTAGTAATATTTCACAGTAGACTTCTGAATTGAGGATCAAACCACACTCCATGAACTTCACTAGCAGTACTCCTTTGGTATCTTCACATTTGGTGAGATTTTCTATGGCACCACTTCTGATATGGTGTTGATTCACGATAATGCTTGCCCGCACACTGCTAGATGCACCCAAGAACTTTTGAAGCAGCTCCGTTAGGA